AGGTTACGTYTGCACCTGCTGCTTGTTCTTTGATGCCCTGTTGCATGAAACAATTTCCTTCAGAAGTTCCAACAATGTACTAATTAACAAAGTAAAAGACAGGGAGAAACAAGACAACGACTGTGGGAGGAAGGAGGTGAGTAACAACTGAGATGATGTCAGAGGGAAGCAGTGGAAAGAAGCAATGACAAAGGGGGAACTGGGATAGAAACACAGGAAAAAAAAGAGGGACAAACAATAAAGGAAACAAAAGTTAAAAAAAGCAGAAATCAAAAGAGAGGGAACTGGAATGAAGAATTATATGAAATTAAATTATTTAAAGTCCCCTCTAGATTACAGTATGCAATTATGACAGAGCAACTCTAAGGACAGTGAATACCTCTGTCCGAGAGATCTGTACATGGTATCAGTTCTCCCCTAGTGCAGCAAGGAAATTCACTGGGGAGGGAGGGCATTCCTACCTCCTACCTCCTCCTGCACAATGCTCCTCAAGCTGGACTTTTAGCCTACCTTCTTTATTTAGATATAAACTGAGTCAAGTGGCTTTAAAATGCAATGAGTATGAGCTGGCCTCTCTCACTGTTCCCAGAGAAAGAAAAATGAACTGTAAATGGGAGTCCCACCCTGTAGGTTCAGAGTAGACATCAAAACAGTCACGAACAAACTCTGTGATGTAAAGGCCTGGACTCAGAAGTGTGTGGCTGGTGGCAGGGCAGGGCTGGCACATAGCAGGGACACATCAGCAGTGGAGAAGGAGTGACAACTCACAGATACTTCTTGAAAAAGAGGAGAGGCCCACCTTCTTCAGTGTGTGGTAGAACAAGCTGCACAAAATGAGGAGTTTCCTTGCTGCCTATGCGGTTGGTCCAGTACTGCTGAGCCCAGTGCTGAAGGCTTTGAGCACACCAGGTGCTGTGAACATATGCTGAAGCACCACGGGCACTTCAGCCTAGAAACTTAGAACTTCCACATCATACCTGCCACAGCTCTTCATCTGTTTAAGACTGGCACATACCAAACAGCTGGTATGGAAAACTGCAGGACCATGGAAGCAGCATTTGTTAGGCATCCAAACTGCATCTGAAGTGATGAACTGATTGAGTGTCTTTAGATTTTCTTTCTCTTTGTCAAGTCCACCAAGTGAGCTAACCAAGCCTATTGTGCCACACAGCACAGGGATCTTGGACCTCAAACAGCTSCTGGTCCCTGCAGCACCGCTCTAAGGGCTTAAGTGTGATGTATCAATGTTGTTTCCAAGACTACCAGCATGGTGCTGCTGTGCTGCACAGCATTAACTCTGATTACCTGTCTGCTGCTGTGAAACAGGTATCTGAAAACAAACTGGTTACCAAATTCATCTGTAGAGTGATGTATAACAAGGAGGCATAGCTTCACTGAAACTACTGGGTTTTCGCTTACTTTTGCCAGTATTAAATTTGGTCAATTTTCTCATTTGCAGGACTGTTAGAACTAATGAGACACCAATCCTGCTAAACCAAATTTCTATTTRTGAGACATGTAAGAAGAGCAACAAGATAAAAACTCCATGCATTAAGCATGCTAGTATGAAAGTACACTAATACTCAGGAGAATTTTGTGTTATTCTGTAGAATTCTGTGGTTTAGGAAATGAAACCTGTTAYAAGTAACTTGTGATAGAAATACTGTTCCACTTTTATAGTACAAAATGACAACACAAAATGCTGGTTTTTCCTCTGCAGCAAAGACAGCATCATGGACTCTCTCACAACCACACTGTTTCTACCCTAGTTTTACATCATCACATCTTTGTATACACTCTACTCCTGAGAAATACACCATGAGGATCTTTATGAATAATGAAGAGTAAGCAGCAACATAGCCTTTCTGAAAATAAGCTGATCAATATATACRAATCCAGAAGAGCACCACAAAGGTAACTAGAGGGATGGAGCACGTCTCCATTGAAAACAGGTTGAGAGAGTTGGGTTGTTCAGATGGGAGAAGGTTCTGCAGAGGCCTTATAGCACCCTTCCAGCACCTAAAGGGATCTTACAAAAGGCTGGAGAGGGAGTTTTTACAAGGGCCTGTCATGACAGGAGAAGGGGAAATGGACTTAAGTTGAAACAGGATAGGTTTAGATTAGATGTTAGGAAGAAATTCTCTCCTGTGAGGGTGGTGAAGCACTGGAATGGGTTACCCAGAGAAATTGTGGATATTCTATCTTTGGAAGTGCTCAAGGGCAGGTTGGATGGGTCTTTGAGTGATCTGATTTAGTGGAAGGTTCCCTGCCCATGGCAGGAGAATTGGATAATTTTTAAGGTTTCTTCTGATCCAATCATTCTATGATTCTATGATACACTGAAACAAGCCAGGAAAAAAGAACTGCAAGTTTCAAAGGAAAAAAGAGGCTATTGTAATTAAGAAACATGAAGTACTAGGAAAGTAGAGGGGAATGTAGAACTCCCTTCACACTCATGAAAGTAGACAAGGGGAGGGCTACAGATGTCATTTATCTGGACTTCTGTAAAATCTATGACAGAGTCCCCCAAAATGTCCTTTTCTCTTCGGAAAGAGATGGGTTTAAGGGGTGGGCAGTTAGATGGATAAGAAAGTGGTTGGATATCGAATCTAGAGGTCCATATTGACACCAGCACTCTTCAATGTCTTCATCAATGACACAGACCAAGGGATCTASTGTCCCCTCAGCAAATTTTCAGATGACACCAAGGTGAGTGGTGTGGTTGGCACACCTGGGGATGGGATGGCCTCCAGAGGGACCTCGACTTGAGAAGTGGGCCCATGGGAATCTTGTGCAATTTAACAAGCCCCAAGTGCAAGGTGCTGTAGGTGGGTTGGAGCAGCCCCCAGTATCAACACAGGCTGGGGGATGAACAGATCAGAGCAGCCCTACTGAGAGGGATTTGGGGGTGCTGTGGGTCTGGACRTGACCCAGCCATGAGCACTCACAGCCCAGAGAGCCAAWCGTGTCCTGGGCTGCAGCCAAAGCCCYGTGGGCAGCAGGGCCAGAGAGGGGATTGTGCSCCTCTGCTCTGCTCTGCTCAGACCCCCCTGCAGGGCTGTGTCCAGATCTGAGGTCCCAGCGCAGGAAGGACATGGATGCTGGAGGGAGTCCAGAGATGGGCCACCAAGATGATTAGAGGAATGGAGAAACTTTGCTAAGAGGAAATGCTGAGAGAATTGGGGTTGTTCAGCCTGGAGGGGAGAAAGTTTTTGGGTGACGTGATTGTGACCTTGTAGTACCTGAAGGAGGCCTACAAGAACAATGAAGAGGGACTTTGTACAAGGACACATACTAAATATTAGCAAGAAATTATTTACTGTGAGGGCAAAGAGATATTTTTTACATTTACTGTGAAGGTGAAACTCTGAAACAGACTGCCTGGAGAAGCTGTGGATGCCTCATCCTTGGAAATGTCCACAGCAAGGTTAGATAAGGCCTTGAGCAACCTGGTCTTGTGGAGGGTGTCTCTGTCCACAGCAGGGAAGGGTGAAACTTGATGTCCTGTCTAACTCAAGCCATTCCATGAGAAGCAGATTCACACTTTTTTTTGACTGTTTCAGGCTGAACCCTCTGACATTATATATTATATACTGCTCCAAGTACATGATCCATTAGTCTACTCTGTCAAATAAAACAAGGTTTGCTCTCCCGTTTTAAAATATCATCCTATTACTGCTATATCCTATGTCAGCACTGCCTTCCATTGTTGTCACAACAGCTGATGGCCTACCTGCTGCTGAGGCCTTTATGCTCACAATGACATTTTCCAGGCTTTGTTTTAAGTTTTGGTTATGACAAATTCCAAAACTGCTGAGTGAGAAGAATGGTTTTCCCCACCATTTTTAAAGTTTTCTGGTTAGTGTTYATCTGTGTAGTCCTAAAGGGGCTGCAAATTCACTGCTCATCTGCTCTGCAAACAGTGGCCGTAGCAGGGTACTTTCCATGGCGGATTCAAGGCTGCCACAGGAATGGCAGATCCAGGAATTGACAGTACCAAGTGACATGCAGACACTTGATCCCAGCCTTCACATGAGCAGGTCAGCCTTGGCCAGAAGCCACTTTCCACACATCTGCCTGCACTAAGCCAGATGGACCAATCGGCAACCCCTCAGTTCACAGCAGGTGTCAGAAACCCCTTGCTGAGTTCATGGATGMCCAAAAAAGGGTTAAAACCTTGTTGTCAAGAAGGCCAAAGATATCCTAGGCAGCATTAGGAAGGGCATTGCCAGCAGGTGATCCTGTCTCTCTGCTCAGCCCTGGTGAGGCACATCTGGAGTGCTGTGTCCAGTTCTGATCTCCTCAGGACAAGAAGGACATGGAGCTCCAGGAGCGCGTCCAGTGGAGGGCAACAAAAATGATTAAGGGACTGAAGCATCGCTCTTGTGAGGAAAAGCTGAGGAAGCCTGGCCTGGTCAGCCTCAAGAAGAGAGGTCTGAGAGAGGGCCTCATCAATATTTATCAGAATCTGCAGGGAGAATGTCAGAGGATGGAGCTAGGTTCTTCTCAGYGGTGCCAAGCAATAGGAAAAGGGCCAATGATCAGAAACTGATGCACAGGAAGTTCCACCRGAATATGAGGAACAACTTTACTGCGCAGGTGGGCACACACTGGAACAGACTGTCCAGGGAGGTTGTGGAGTCTCCCTCGCTGGAGATAGTCAGGAACGATCTGGAGACAATCCTGTGCCCTGTGCTACAGAAGACCGTGCCTGAGCAGAGGGTCGGACCCGAAGAGACGCTGCGGTGGCTCCCAGCCCGGCCCGGCCCGGCCCGTTCCGCTGCTGTGGGGCGGCCGAGCGCAGGGAGCGCAGACCGGGCGGACACCCCTCGGGCCGGCGGGCGGGGCGGGGGCGGGCCCGGGGCCGGATGTTGTTGTTGTTGTTCCTGCCCCGCCCCTCGCCCCCTCCCCCCGCGGAGGGTGACGGGCGCTTCCCCGCCCGGAGCCGCCGCTGCCGTTTCAGCCGCTGTTGCCGCCGCGGCCCCGCTGCCGCCCGGCCCGGCCTGGCCCGGCCTGGCCTGGCCCGGCCCGGCTCCGCCCYGGGGCGCCGCCGCCGGCCCCCTCCCGCCTGCCTTCCTGGCCGCCTCCCATCGCGTCGCTCCGGCTTCTCTGGCTCAGCGGACGCCCCGGCCCGGCCATGGCGGACTTCGATGAGATCTACGAGGAGGAAGAGGACGAGGAACGGGCGCTGGAGGAGCAGCTCCTCAAGTACTCCCCCGACCCGGTGGTGGTGCGCGGCTCCGGCCATGTCACCGTGTAAGGGCCGTGSTGGGGCCTGCGCGGCCGGGGCGGGTGGTGGAGGAGGCCCGGGCGGCGGGACGGGGGCGGCCGGGAGCGCCCAGCCCGTGGGTACAATTTGGGGCAAGTCGTGGGGTTGGCGGGGGAGCACCGGGCCGGGACTGCTGCCCTTGCTCGACGTCCGTGAAGCTGCGAGAGGCTCTTCTCGTCTCTGCCGGGCAGCTGGGAGTTGCCTGGAACTCGCAAGAGGGTGCAAACCTCTAACTAGGTGCTGAGGAGACAAGGCTGGCTTGGGCTGTGACTGRCAGAGGAATGTGAAGTATTTGCCCAAAATGATGAGCTGTCAGGAAGTGAGGTGCCTGTGTTCCTGTGTATAACAGGTATGTGCCAGCACATGACCGGCTGCACTATTGCATAGGGTTGTTTATGTACCTGTTACCCACTCCCTTTTAACTTGTGGCTGCTAGTATGGCCCTGAGGATTTTCGCAAAGAAAAGGCATCAGTTAGTCAGCTAGGTACATGTAAAATTATGTTGTGATTGCTGTGTGTTGGTTTCACTGTGTTCAACGTGGAAGCAACTTAGTTTTGTTTTGTGTGTGTTTGGTATCTGAGTCTAGCAGAAAGTGATCATGAGCTTGTGTAGTACTTCTCAATAACGTAAGAGATATCTTTCTTTCCATCAGTTCTGTCAGGTTCACTCTGTTGAAGTGTAGTTGTCAGTTATGATGTATTGTGTCAGAAGCTGAAATACAAACCTGGAGGTAAGATTCAGTAGTACAAACTTTTGGGTTTTTGTATTCAGTGTTCAGCAGAAGTAGGCTTGTAATAAAGACAGAAAAGCTGTGGTCTGTTGCTCTGAGTCTCATAAACTGTTGATTTTCAGATACTGACCTGTCCAGAAATTCAGGGTTAGAGTAGTTTTTGTGGCATTTGGGTACATTCCTGCTTTAATACTAATACTAATAGCTGGGCAGTGCAGTTAGCTGTCCAGTTAAAAACAGGAAGTAAGACATGGATAGRCTGAGGGAGATTTGGACAGTTAAAAGAACATAGATGGGGCAGGAGGCCAAGGAGGCCCTGTGAAAGAATAGAGGCATGTAGTCAGTGTGTTCAACTTATGACTGTTTATTGTGAACAGCTGTAGCAGTGATTCACTGACAATAAGCCAGTAGCCTTGGTCTGTTTCTGAAAACCAGAGCAATGGTTTTTCATATTAGCAAATGAAAAGTGTAAAGAACTGAAACAGAGGCAAGTACTGTTTTTTTCTCCAATACTTGTAGGTAAATTGTGCAAGACAAGATGAAGGCCCGTTAGTGGAATCTTGGGGAAGCTTGTGAAGCATGGGCTGTGACTAGTAAGGGCATTGTGGTTGAAGGATGGCTACCTTGTTAATTGTTCATTAATAATTAGTAGCTCATTATTACTTTAATATCTTCTCTAAAGTACTTGTTCTTTAGGTTTTGGATGAGCAATGAAATTCTAATATGTGCCTCCAAAATTAGGCAATTGATCTTCATCTACTTTCTTCACAGTGTCAGGTATTAACAGTTTACTAAATAGCATCAGCCACKTCTACTTTTGTCATTGATCCAGAAACATTATTAAAAGTTAGATCCCTTTTACAACATTCACTTGATGGATATAAAGGATAGGTCAAATCCTCTGTGTCTGATGAATTAGTCTTGCCGATATAAAAGCTTGTGTGCATTTTGAAGATCTGACAAAAATGATCAGCTGTTAAGCAAATATTGGATTGATCTGTCCCTGGCTCTACAGTTTGAAGAGTTGCTGACTGCTTCTGCTGTGTGTATATTTAAACAGAAGCTCTCTTTTCATAGTCTGTTGTCATATCTTTTCTGATCTTACAAAGGAGTAATAATGTTAGGTTTGAAATATGTCAATTCCATGACTACATAATCACATTCAAAAAGACATTTACTATTACATGATTTCATCCAACAGAGAATGGAAGTGTGTATTAGAAGTTGAGTATTCAAATCAACTAAAGGAAAGCAGTTAAATGTTATCCAAATAAAACATATAAAGTCSTTGCCTTTTGAGGATGTGGAGCTTTGGTGAGCACTGAGTTTTTTTCCTTAAACTCACTGTTCGAAGCATGCTACAGACAATGCTAACTTTTTAATGTTCTTTTTTTAAATATGCAGTTAAACTGTTTTCACATCAGGAAGGTTTTGATAGCTTGGTAGACAGGAGTAACATTTTGCGTGTTTTTTGAGAATTTGAGGTTATATCTTGTAATGGCAAAAATCTTGAAAGCTGAGAAAATAGAGATCCTTACTTACAACTGAAAGTCCAAGGTATTTCACACTTGTTTCTAAAATCATATTATGATAGTAAGGGAGGTACATGATGTGTTTGAAATCATGAAAAGAATATTTATTATAGGCATCTGGTTGTGTTTTTCAGTGATTGTTTTCCTGTTCTTCAACTAAGAAGAGACATGTTGAGACGTGTACTATACATATCGCAGACTGTATTAACTAGTAATACTGGATTTATTAATTGSTTGCATTACTGGAATGATAGAGAGCCATTGTGATGTGCTGATGAATGCCTTTCTGTGCTGTTATTACAGCACTTTATGTCTTAATCTAAGTTAACTTTTTGTAGGGGAAGAAGAACTTACTAAAGATATATTTACTGAAGTAAGTTTCTTTCATATTAAACTGAAGTCTGCCAATATATATTTCAGCCTTACTCTGTATCGAGGACATATGAGTGAAAACAGGGAATTTTGAGAATATTTGAGAATTTTGGAAGGTGTTAAGATTTGTGAAACACAAATTTGTTTTTTAAGGGCTGGGAACATGTGGACCTAAAGAATAGAGTTAAGGTAAGGGCAGTGAAAAAAYGGTTGTGTCCGCATAAGAGAGAAACAAAAAGGAAGAGGATCRCATTTGTCAGATTCTTGTGTAAGGAAGATCTGAACTGCATGTTGGGAAAGGTTACAATTTGGCTGCATTCTTGTCTTGGTTTGAGACAATGTTTTCAGAGAAAAAAACGCTACAGAGTAAATGTTTCCTCTGAAGTGAAAAATAGGATAATTTTTTCCCACCAATATGAAATAGATGTTTGTGCAAAAGTGGAGAGAAAAAAAGAAAAGTAGTTTATTAACAAAACACAGTGCCCACAGGACACAGATAAAAAGTAACTGTTAGATATTTAAAACTCAGGAGCACATGCCACCTCCTCCCCCCACAAACCGCTCAGCCATGTTGTATGGAGAAAAAAAGGAGCAAAAGAAAAAGGTCCACCTGGCCCCTCGGGCAACAGTGGCAACCTGGTGGCAGTCCTCACTTTGGATGTAACAGAGGGCTTGGTGTGTTTTTCTGTCCCGGCTTGGCTTCTTCCGGAGTCCAGGACGAGACAGAGCAGCACAGCTTGTCCCCGCCTGCTACCAAATTGCTCCAAAAGGAAAAAAAAATCACAGGAGCTGCCGAGGGGGTGGCAGTCCTCAGAAAACTGTTTGCCCAAGGTAACAAACAGGCGCTAGCTAAATGGCAGCGATGTAACTCCGCTGCACACAAGGAGCAAGGACTCTTCATGGCAGCCCCGGCTTTTAAACTGCCCACACCGCCCCTGCCCCTTCTTCCAGGTTAGATTTAAAGGCACAGATACCTTTTGGGCACACAAGCTGCTGGAATATAGGAATACAGGATTGGCACAACATCAACCCGAGACAATCCTATACTGTAAACTTCTGTGCATTAAAATTTTCATCTCTCACCATTTCTTTCTCCGCTCTACACCAGGGCAGGAATTTATCTGAACCTTTGAAGCAGTCAGGTTCACAAAACACTTGCTCAGCTCCAGGAAGCATAAAGAAAGTGCTCATGCATAAGGTGAGCATGGGTCTGTTGAAGGTRTGATGTCGAGTAGGAAAGGCATAGAGTAAGCAGGGAAGAATGTGTGTCACTGGAGATGCAGTATTGTACTAAAGAAATCTCGTGCTGTAGCAGGAGGACAGCTATCTGAGGAAATGTGTCTCCAAAATATTGATTTCCAGTGTTGTATTTTAAGGCTTTTTTTGCTGCTCTTTTGTCAGAGCAGGTATGTATTTACATTGAACATGTAGTAGTGTTCTGKGGAGTTTCTAAAATTTTAATTTCCAAATTTCAGCTTGCAGTCAAGAGTAACAATTCTGAGATCACACAACTACTTACAATATATAGTGGGTTTTTAATGTATGGAGCCACCCTGTTTTACTACCTGTGTATGGTGACAACACACTAATGTGTCAAGCTCAAAACTATGCCAGTAGYTGTTTGAGTTAGCTTCAGCTTCACTACCCCACCATGTTTTAAACATTACTGCAAAGCTASAGTACAGGCTCTCAGTCAATTTGCTTATAAATTCAGCCAAGTGTAACTGCATTGGTTGGAAGTTGCTGTGCCTCATTCTGCCTCAGTGATTGTAATTTCAGATAGCCATAGAGCTTTTCCAGTGGGGTGTGCTTTTGTCAGTCATGGCTTTTTACAATCTTCATGAATATTTGTTAGTGTTTGATGTAGCTGTCAATATTTGAATACGTCACAAATACTGATTTAATGAACCAATTGCATAGTGAATTGGGAGCACCAATTTAGTTTGGAGACTTATGATGACGGCTGTATGTCTTGAGCCTGGAATCATTCTCCAGGCTTGTCTGCAGATCCATGGAATTTTTYTTCAGGCTTTGGTGTCTGCTTCGATTTGCTGGCAATTTTAAGTAGGGCATGACACTTAACTGATACAGCATGACACTTTCTGAYATTTACATAACTTTTGCCTCAGTGCTTAGTTTCACTCAGCAGTTTGAGGTAAAGGTAGATAGTCCTCCTGTCATGGAGTATTCAACAGGATTTTCAATGGTAGAGATGTTTCCGGTAAGTTAGGTTTCCTTTGTTCTGTGTTGAAGTAGTAAACTTTCTGTATGTGTCTCTGCTTGACAATTCTCATGTTATTTCACCAGTTTTGAGAGACTTACAGACTTGCAGAGCTACTATTCTAGTGAAAATACTGAAATACGGTAGATAATGTCTGTGTAAGGAAGGTCTTCAGGGAGATCTTATTATGGCCTTTCAGTGTACAAAGGAGGCTTGTAAGAAAGATGCAGAGAGACTTTTTGCTTTGGCCTACAGTGACAGGACAATGGGGAATAGTTTTAAACAGRAAGAGCATAGGCTTAGTTTGGCTATAAGGATGAGGGAGATGAGACACTGGAACATGTTGCCCTCAGCAGCTGCAGATGCACCATCTTTGGAAGTGTTCTATGTTTGGTTGGATGCAGCTTTGAGCAACCTGATCTAGTGACAGGGAGGTCAGACTAGATGATCTTTGGTTCTTTCCAACACTAATAGTTTTATGTTTCTGTGATTCTGCTGCCTGTAATCTTTGATAGGAAAATTATCTGCTTACTTTGCCTTAAGACCCTATGTAAAAATCACCTACAGTATCAAACTATCTAGCCCAGTGTGCTGCTGCAAACTTTGGCAACAGGCATTGCTGCATATGAATTGCATACAAGTCTGGGTGTTCCTGTTGTCCATTCTTGTACTCTCTGGCRTCTGCAGCTATGGAATGATGTATATTTCAACAAAGTCTTTCCTTTACTATGTTTGTCAGGGAACTTGTGTAATCTTGCTTCAAATCTATTGGCACAGTTTACATCACTAATGTCAAATGGTAGCAAACCCAGAAGTCAGCTACTTGCAGCTTATTTTTAGCTGCACTTTCTTCTCACTGTTTTAGACCAATTTCTGACTAATTTCAGTCAGTGCTCTCTGTTGTGGGATTTGGTGATGAATGCTCCCCTTACCTACTGCCTTCCTGAAACTTTGCTCTTTAGTCATATTCCCCCCTCAGTCTTCTCTTTTCCAGCTTAGTGTCAGCCTTAGTCTATTGAGGCAGCTACTTTATTCCTTTTTTTATACTAGCCTTTCTTCTCTCAGTTTTTTCCTAACTCCACCAAGTCCTTCATGACATGTGGATACCAGAGCTGCACCCAGTACTGAATATGAGGGTTTTAAGGAGAGTCAAAATGATGTTGTTGTTAATCACCTTCCACAGAGTTGCCCAGTGTGTTATTGCGATTTCTGGTGGCTGCTGCTTGCATTGAGCTGATGTTTGAGAGTTGTGAGTGGTGGTAAAAGATCTCTCCTGGAGCTGTCAAATTTTAGTGTCACTTAAGCATAGTTTAGCAGTCCCAAACTTCACTACCTGTTACTTATATACAAAGAAATCATCTGAGCCACCTTTTGTCCACTGAGTTTTATGAAGTTGCCACAGCTCACCATGTAACTGCCCATTTGATTACAAAGCTCTCCATTGCCATGCAGATCATTCAGTTCAGTCAGAAAAAAAAAAAATAAACCCCAATCCCAAAACTCTGGGGAATACCTAGCTTCTCAGTTGTGAAAGCAAATTACATCTTGAGGTGTCAAGGCTCAGCTAAGCTTTTCTGCATCAGCTGAGCAATGTGTCATAGGTGTCACTGCCAGTTGTTGAGCAGTTTAGTTTTTGATTTTTGTTTATGGTGTCTGATAGATTGCTCTGGTTTATATTCAAAATTTTTAAAATTACGGCTCAAATTTTACACTGATGCTGTTTACCAAATGAATCRTCATTCATATAGTGTTATTAGTGACTTTGTAGTCTCCATTGTCTCTACTARATGTTATTGCCCAACCCAGATGCCAGAAAATACTCAGATTTTCTTTGAGGTTCATCCATTTATGAGCTCAACCAGACAACTAAGGTAGAAAAAAACATTTTTTGAACAGGCAAGCTGAAACTCTTCTGATTTAGAGCTTGTGAAACCCAGTAGATTCAGTAACTCTAGCTCATTCCAAGCTGCTTTGCAGCTTTACATTTATGATTGGTATGTTTCTTTAAAATTAATTATTGTTTAAGCCATGTTTTGTTACTTAGTATTTTGTGTTTTGAAACTTAGTACATATTAATTTTCTGAAAAGCAAGCTGACGTTGATTCTGTTTTTATGCTTAGGACAGTTATTTAGCACTGGATAAGCTATTCTTCAAGATATATCTRTACTGGTGCAGGAGAGAGGTAGTTCAAACTGTGGCCGTAAGTTGCTTCTCCTTTCCCTTTAAGTACTTCACTTACCTCACTTCCCACTGTTGCTTGTAGGTTTTGTTGACTTTAGGTAAGAGTCAATAGTATCAGGAGAATTATGAAAAGAGACTATGGACAAGATGAATTTCAATCTGTGTATAATGGTGTMATTTTGCTTGTTAGTATGATTTAAAGAATTGCTCTTAATAACAAGTAGTGTTTTCCTGAAGTTAGTGCTGTTACTGATATAGACCCTGAGYGTATTATGAGGTGCTTGTAATTTGTGGCATGGGTTAGGATTGTTTTTCATTTTGGTACAATCTAAAATTTTGTTTTTGCAGGTTTGGACTAAGCAACAAATTTGAAGCAGAGTTTCCTTCATCTTTAACTGGAAAGGTAAGTACCTTTGAATGGAAGTTTGGAATTGGGAGTTGAGGTTGTATTAAAAAACAAGTGCTCCAAGTTTAGACCACTGTAAAAGTAGTAAATTACATTGCTGTAATATTAGTTTGTTTCTTCTTTTTTTTTCATTTCCCTTGTAGGTTGCACCTGAAGAATTCAAAGCCAGCATCAGTAGAGTTAATGGTTGTCTTAAGAAGAATCTTCCAGTTAATGTACGATGGCTACTATGTGGATGCCTTTGCTGCTGCTGCACTTTAGGTTGTAGTATGTGGCCAGTTATCTGCCTCAGTAAAAGAGTAAGTTGAATTATTAGTATAATTTTTGATAGCTAGAATTGTACTGGTTTTGTTCTCATTTTGGTTTTCTTTCTTTTTTCTCCTTCACCATTAAAAACTGTGTGATAGAGCTTTTGTAAATCACTTTTATTTCATACATTTTGGTTGTTATGTATGTTGTTGTTGCATATCAGGTGTCTGCTGTACTGGTTAAAGTTACAAAAGACACCAGTCAGGGCTTTGAGCTTATAACTCAATGAGAGGTAGTATAGCTGAATGCCTCCTAGAGCCATGTGTTGTAAAGCAATTATTGTTATTGAACTAACTTTCAACATACTCTTTAATAGCTGCATCTTCTCTGTGATAACTGTTTGAGGTTATCAGAATTTGGCAGTGAATGAGTGGCAGTTTGTTTTTGAGGAGCTTTTGATTACACTGGGGCCCTAAGGAACCACATGTTTTTTTGTTGAAAAGGCAACCTTGACTTTTCTTTTTGGGTGTTTTTTTTCTAAGCTGTAGATGAGTAAGGTGCTTTGTTTTACATTAATAACTCGAAAGTAGCTTTWTGTCTGTGTACACTTGGCACTTCATGTATTGTTCACAACAGAAGCTCAATACACGTGCCTGGTTTTCATTTCCTTTTTCTCAGTGCATTCAACTAGGCTATCCTCCCACCTCTTCTGTGTGTGTAAAAATTGTCTTTGGCTAGTTCTGTTTCACTGCTTCACAAGAAGTCTCTGTGCTTTCCCATTATCTCCTCACTATTTAATGCTGTTCATCTTTCCATTTCATGTCATGGTGTGTGTATGTTCTGTCTTCTGTAATACCTCTTAAGCTACAACTTTTGTTGTACAACTTTAATGTACAGTTCAGTACACTAAACATCATCATTGTTTTCTTTATCAAAGTCCTCAYTTTTTAGAGTTACTAAATAATGACAATTATATAAATAATAAAAAAATATTTATAGGGTGAGCATTGATTATAACAAAACCTGGATGCACTTTTCTATAATCTGTCTTAAGATCTTAATGCTTAGTCCCTTTAAGAGATCACTTAAGGCTAGAATTTGAATTGTATACAAAATAAGGTAGAAAAACCTTGTGCTAATGTTGGAGTCTGTGGAGAAACTAACCAAAACAAAAATATTGGTGCCAGTGTGAATTATATAAAACCCTAATATTTTAATCTTTAAGCTGTCACAAACTAGTAAGTGTCCTGTAGCATGATTGTGTATCCAAAATATATTTGTGGCCCAAAAGTCTGCTAGAAGAAATTAAAATCTTTTGATTGCTTCAGCAGTTAAGCAGGTGAYTTAACTAGCTTGTAGAGAAGACTACCCTTACCATTCAAGGCCTAGCTCAATAAGTAACAACCACAAAGGAATCATCTAATGCTGCTGTTCTGTTAACTTCTAAATGAGAATGCTTCTGATGTTATGTAGTTKGACCCATTTTTCTCACATAATACATTGTAGCACAAAATGATAACTGTTTGTAATTTGGTAGGGGCTGATGTTGGAAGCTCTGATCTTCTAGACTGGCTCCGCTAATCAACAYTTTATACATTGTTAAACAGTGTCAGAAAAAATACAAGGGCTTCTAGCATCTGGGGTCAGAAAACCGTTTGAGGCTGAGGAGAGAGGTTCTGTGTGGGAATATGGTGAAGCACCTGTTAGAGAAGTGGCGTGGGATAAGGTAAAAAGGTGYGCTCCTTCCAAAAGGATAAATCTGAAAAAAACCCCCAACCAAATCACAGATGCTTTGTTCAGACAAGGCTGGAAAGGGGATAATGGTGTCATTGTTGTTGTAATATAGAACGCATAAGGAGAGGAGAGCGTTGGAAAGAGTATGAACGGCAGGAGCAYGGACACAGCTTGTGACTGAACTTCTGTAAGTCATCCTAGAGTGTGGCCCAGACTATCAGTAAATGTTGCATTTTTCCTGTAAAAGTTGGTACCAGAAGACATTTATGGACCTTTGCATCTTTATCTGCACTTGGCTATCCAGCATTAGTGAAACTTAGGACTCAGCTGCCTAAACWAAGTGTCTTGTGCCACTGTATATAGCACAGTGGCACTAGCCACTGATGGCAGTTTGATTGTTCCTCCAGAGTAAAAGTAATTTAAATCATTCTGGAGATTTCCTATCAGCATCACTTGTCTGTGCTAGCAGCTCAGCAGATGAATGCATGCTTACAGGGTCGTTTCTCAGACAGAAAACTCGGAACTTGTTCTCTGTTGAGCATCTGGAGAGCATATAAGGAGAAGAATTAATTAACTTCTGTTCCTAAAGACAAAGTGAATGGGAATAGAGTGCTTTCCCAAACTCCCAACTCTTCATCCTGGAAATGTCTGGGAAAGCATATTTTTCTCTGGTAGAGGAATTAAGGAGGAAAGCTGTGGAATATTTTTCAAGGACATATTTGGAAATTCTAGTATAAAAAACAARCAGAAGAATTTTTAATGATTCTAATCAGGGCTACTACTTACAGGAAAATGATAAAAAGTTACTGGCACTTGGGTTGCTTGTACAGATATGGGTGGATTTAACTTGGTCTTGGTAGACCCAGAGTAGGAAAATATAAAGAGATATAAATCCATTMAATCTTTCTTACCTGGAATTGTACCCTACAAGATCTCAGTACTGAATTGTATCTGGAGGCTTCTGCATAAAAGAAAAATATCTTAGGACTTTCCATCAGTTTATATCCAAGTGGTGTGACAACTGCAAGAAACTAACCATATGTATTTTCCTAGAAGYGTGGAAAGTAGAAGAGGGTCCATGGTGAATTACCTGGAGCTGCTCTGCTGTTTAAATAACACCTGGTTCATCTAGGTTCCAGTCAGTTATTTGCTCAGTAGATTCCAGTAGAATTGTGATGAGAAGCAACTACAAAAAAACATCAGTTGACTATTTCGGTTTGCTGCTAGTGCCACAGTTTTGCTGATACATAAGACTGATGTATTCAGTGTGAACTACKCACATTTAAGCTGTTGAACTGGTTGTATCTAACTTTATCTGTGTCTTGGAAGAGGGTTGTGTTGACCAAATTATCTTCCATGCTTTGACTTCTTCAGATATCCTGGACTCAGCCATAAGTATAGTCAAAACAGCCAGGATTCCCTTCTCAGGAAAACAGGGGTCCAGGGTATGTGCTTRTCCCTTCCCTTTAATATTTAGAGACAATGAATTATTTCTCACTTGTGTAAAACAAACATAACAAATGGTGAATACATAAAACATTGCTTCTTTTACATTACTTGCACTCGTCTGAGAAGTTTTACCTAGAGAGCTTTGCTAGTTCAGCCCTGTCCTAAGTGATTCCCAGTGAAAAGACTGTTACTTGGAACTGACTTGTGTTACATCCTTTGCTGCAGTGATCACAAAAGACTCCCAAGACTGTACAATTAGAGATKTTGGTTTCTGAAAGCAGGATGGGAGTGTTCCCATTCTGAAATTTGTGCAGATCATGTTTTAATTGCACAATAAAAATATACAAGTCTTCATATATGCCCTTTTCTACTGAAATAGAAGACTAATAAGTTTGTTTTGCTGAATTGCATATACAATGAGCTAACAAGTRGGAGTGTTTCTCAAGCATTTTATTATTGAAACAACAGTTTCAACTATACAGTTGCTTACTTTTAATGTAGGAGAGTAATGTTTCTCAGAATGACCAAATGAGAAATGTCTCTTTTAATGAGTCTGAATCAATCTGCCATGTTCTTGAATTGCTGGTATAGTTTGTGGCTCTTTTTCAGAGAAAGACWTTTTTTTAAGGTTCACGTAGATAAAATGAAAATTGCAGCTTCAAAGTTAGAATAATTTTCTTAGCCTTTCTCTGCATTCTGTATCTTTACTGCCTTTTACTGATTTTTTAAGTTCTCATGTGGGAAAGTTATCACAAATATACGTACAGTTTCTGAAGTTACAGTTGTTGAAAGTGGGTGTGCAATGGGAATACATGCTTACATGCTTCTTTTTGTGCAGTGAAAAATAAGGTAATGGTTTCTCCCCTTAAGTCAGCAGATGCTTCAAACTAGGAATTTATTAAGCCATGGACGCTTGTAAGTTTAATTGTTAATTATATGATTTTAATGCATTTCCGTGCAGTGAAAGCTTTCCCTTCACTAATTTGTTTTTTTCAGTGCAGTTTTGGAGTCTTTGTACAGTGTTGTTTCCTTTCTTTGTTTGCACTGAGGTATCTGGAAAAAGCCTGCTACTTACTCTGCAACAGTAAAATAAGTGTATTGGATTCTGTATGTTATTGCCTCTCTCATTTTATATGGTCTTGATTCAATTCTAATTAATAAAAACTGCAAGAAAGTTGCAGCAACTACAGTCCCTCATTTGCAGCTCTAGGTCATAAATGATCTTAAGCTGTTTTACTCATAGAATGCACCATCCTTTCTGGGACAAATTCAGGTTGTACAAATGAACATTAAGTCTTTAAGTTGTTGTTCTTTAAATAAAAGGAATGGCGTAGTGAATTATAATTCAAAAAGCACTGCAGGCTGAGGTGCCCATTTGAAGCCACTTTTTCAAATGAATTGGCACTCATTTGCAGTATTAACTAAATGCTGTAGTTCCTGATGGGTAAATAGGATATATAATTTCAACAGAAACAGTAACAATGAAAGCTGTGATAGAATTGCAGTACTGCTAGATTTCTTAAAAGCTGGTATTGTACAAGTAAATTGCATGTTTCAAATGCTTCATGGGCAATCTCTTAAAATGAATAGAATTAGATATTTAACAGTGATCTGTACTAATACTTTCAAGAGCTACTTGTTTGTTTGTGAATTCACACAAAGCTGATGMGTGCTGCTTAAGCCTCATCATTAGTTGTCACTTTCATAGCAGTTCACATCTTCAGATGCTGTATAAACACAGCTAATTACAACTTCCAAAGTATTGATTAAATTAAATATGTGGTGGAGGAGCTCAATTAATTTTCTTAACCATAATAGTCTTGCTTGTTCAATGGATGATACTGATGTTAAAATATATTAGATAAGT